TATATATATATATATATATATATATATATATATATACAGCTATCGTAAACCTTGACTTACTTACCAAGGAGGAATCAATAGCTCGATAGCTTTTGTGTTCCTTCCACAAAAAGTACGGTTTTGCGAAAAGCATCACCGGAACGCAACCAACTGCCACCAGCAGAAATAGCACTTCGAAAAATTGCTAAATTATTGTAAATCCCACTTTACTACTTGAACTAAAGTGCAAATCGCTGAGAAATTAAACAAACGTTTGACGGAGACGTGTTAGATCTGTTCTTCTCAACGTCCGTAAAAACTGGGCATGTAAAAGCATTTAAAAGATAACTATGAACTTCAAGATACCTGACCAGGATACCAAAAGTTCAAATGGCACTGTATGTAAGTAGCTCCTCCTTGATTAACAAAACCAGACGGTCGACTGCGAACCATAAACATGTTGATTAAACCAATGAGAAGAGACGGAGCACAATTTGACCCTGGATAGTAATATCCGAGTACATAACCTGGCTGAAAAATGTATGTCTTTGCATAAGTAATGATAAAAAGAAAACCTAAAGGCGGAGTTAGTAAAACCACAAACTTTAGCTGAAAAAAGCATCCACTTGAATATAATCTCCAAACACAAATATATGAATATGCAACCGAGAAACAGCATCTGGGGTATAAACATGAAAAGGAAGTCCAAACGAGAATTAAAATATCTAAACATGCCAATAAGTTATTAAAAAAATGTGGGAATTAAAAAACCCATATTCGCTAACAAGGGCTGCAAAAAGCAGACAGGATAGAAGAAATATCATAAAATAGTTAGAAATATCTGATGTAACATCACCTCCTGCTTTTTGCAAATCCACGAAAAAGTTGGCAAAGAATAGAAAAAAAAAAAAAGAAATCACCCTCAAAATACAGTAGTAAAAATTTAAAAGTAAGTAAAATAAAATAAATAAAAAGTAAAAGGCACATTTTGATGAAAAAAAGAAAAACTTACTTGTAATTCTCGTAGCTAAGTATAACGCCAAAAGTCATTTGAGCAATACCAATGATGACAGAAAGCTTCATTTTCATCGAATTCAAGAAACTCAGTTTGTTGTTATCGGCGAGGTTCCAAATAGGATCGACGCCAACGTAGTAAGGGCCATGGCTCTACACAACCATTGTTAAAAACTTTAAAAAGATTGAGCAGCAAAATTAAAAAAACACCTCAAGATACTTTCCACAGTTAGAAAGTAAAATGATATAACACAACAAGTAGTTTTAAAAAATATTTCTCATCTGTCGTGCAATTGTATGTTCACCCAGGAATGACCAAAACCAACCACGTTGTAATAAGCGTACTCCGGAGACAGCATAAATTCCGTTTCAGGTGCAAGATAATTTGTTAATTTGAAAGGATTGCGCCATGCACTACCAAAAAGATTAAAGGATTTGCTGAATACATCATTGTATATCATTCCAGTATAGATCGAAAAGCAACCCATCAGAAATATGAGATATCTTCCATTAAAGAACGTGTTGAATATCTGTATAATACAAAACCGGATAAAAAAAACAGCAATAGTAATTGAAAAATACACAGAAATAAGAAAAGGCAATTACTTCATCTGCAACTCGAGCAGCCTCAATCTGCTTCTCCTTGTAGATAAACCAGAGTGCAGCGAAAAACATAATAAAACCATGACCACAATCTCCAAACATTATAGCAAACAAAAAAGGGAAAGTAATCATCGTATATGGCGCTGCAATAAATAAAAAACTCTTCAAAATACTACAAACAGCGAAATATAATAAACATTAAAACCAACCTGGATTGATTTCTCGATATGATGCAATTCCGTACGAGTCCACAATATTCTGAAAAGCTCGGGTAAACTTGTTGACGCGGTGATAAGTAGGTGGTGGTTCAGTTGAATCTAACATACGATTCAAGATTGATGGCACCGTGCTTCCTGATTCTTCCTTAAATACAAGTATTCGATGCCTACAGTGAAAAAAATGCCTAACATTAGAAAAAGAATGGAATATCAGAATTAACCGTTCCACGCTTCAGAGCGAGTTGAATCCGATCAAGATCTGCGACGGGACACCAACACTCAGCAATCAAGCACTTTTGAGTGACATCCAAATTGAATAAATTAAGTGTATGGTAAATTGACTTAATTTTTCTCACTTTCGTTAACCACATACGGACATTTTTTGACGCAGCAACCTGAATTACAAAGCAGTTAACAAAAGTCATCATGAAATCAAAAACTGTTTTATCGTTAGTAACTATTCTAATAAAAGGAACATGTATTTTGGAACTTAGAGTATTTGTTGTTCGATAGGTGGACTGTTTAAAATCCGGTTGCCTCAAACTCCCCATTAAACTTTTCTTCTGTTAAAAAGCATGAATAAAAAGTAAAAAGTAACGCAAAGAAATTTATCTTATAAATTTACCAGAACGCGGTGGCGGTGGTCTTGAGTTTGATGCAAAACCGTTTTGAGATCTTCGATGCGTGTCATAACACCTATGGACATTTCCCTCCGCTCCTGAGGCGTGTCTGGGCAGGGATATAACGTAGCTCGAAAGCTGCAAGTGAGCCAAGATTAATTAAAAACAAGAAAAAATAACCGCGAAATTTTCCATTAGACCGATATGCCAAAAAGACTACTCTGGCGGTGTCTCTTTCACATTGAAACAACTAATTCAAGGCTTTTTCGTTCTGTAAAGGAAGAAAAAACAAAAAATAACGAATTCTTACCCCTCACATATTTTCTTGACTCGAGTTTTCAACTGATCGCCTTGAAAGAAAATAATAAAAACTGTTTTCTTTACAGGAACTCCCTGAAAATAATAGAAGTTTGAAAAAAGAATGGAGGTAGTAGAAGCGAAAAGAAAAAAGTTGTTTTCAAAAATTGCGGTAAAAGTGGTCATAAACTCTCTATTCATAGAAAACTGAAGCCGTCATTCTAAACTTTCTAAAAGTTAACGAAGGGGCTACCGAACTGTCCACGAGAGGTTCATCAATTTCTGATTGCCGCAAAAACGCATTACCACGACAAGCACGCCAAAGTAACCGTTCAAAACCTGGTAGACGTTCACGCTGTATAACTCCAGCGACGAAACTAAAAATATAAAAAAACTGAGACCATTTTGTGAAAAAATTAATTACACAATTGACAAAAGACATACCAGGCGGCATCATAAAAATTCCAAAAGCAGAACTTTATAAGGTAAAAAGTTAAAAAATTTTTGTTCGGTAATAGGAAAAATATAGAAAAATTGCTGTGAAGGCGATATCAGTGGGAAACATTAGAACTCTCAGCAAAAAACAACAATTGTCGACTATTCTGTAAAAATACAGCTGTTAACGAGCCTTATTTATCATCAAGCAACAATTTACTTTTGATTACTGTTATAAAGAATCAGACTTAAAGAGTAAATGAACACCATTTAACGTACAGTTACATTTAAAACCAGTCATGAATGCTAGTGTTCGATCCGCACAAACATACATCCATTACTTGTACAAACCACAAAAATAATTATATACAGACTTTAATACGTACCCAAAATTCGCAAACATTGCGCCGGCAGGAACTCCAGAAAGCTCAATACCCATCCCTTCAGTTTCCTGAAGTACAATTTGTTCCGGTAGACCTCCTCCAGTGTTATGAGGCACATTGGAAGGCAATGCTGCATCTGGTCCCGCCTAACACAGTTATTGTTGCAATTAAACACACTTCTAACTAGATAATTCAATTTAGAAAGTTAAACTAAACCAGATTAGAAAAGATAGCCAGCTGATTATCAATTATGAAAAACCTTGAGATCAAAAAGAAAGGTAATAGACAAATAAGCAAACTCTAAAAAATTTCAAGCAAAATTTATATAAAAGAGGTGCACCAGTTCAATTTGGAGAACTGTCATTCAGGAAGATCATGGCTCAGGGTCATGTTTAAGTGAAAAGACGTTAACGCACAAAATTAAAAGAGCGAAAAAAACAACATTAAGATTAGTGAAAAGTAGTGCAATTATAAGAGTTGATAACATGCGCAAACCAGTACTACGACTACGTCAGCATCACTTCAAACATTTTTATATATACCAGAAATTACATTATGTAAGCTATACTGATTATAAATAATAAAGTAAAAGAACCACCTCGACACAACATACAACTAAAACTGTGCTCATATTGGATTTCCGCACATTACTGAGCAGCAAAACCAAAGCATGCAAAATAAATATCTTCAAAACCTGCAGAAAATAGTTCCTCAGTAATTTTTGTACTACTATTAAACTCAAGTAAAAACCTATTCCTGACTCAACAAAAGACAAAGTTGTTAATGAAAACATCATTACGGCACAAGAGCAACTAAAAACATTACTGATGATATGTTTGGATCGAACACCTTCATACTGCTACCAGATTTCCAATATCATTTCCCAAAAAATTTAGTGGTAAAAAAAGACACCACAAGAGCAAACCTAGCGAAGTGCTAAGAATTTTCCTTTTACAAAAAAGCACTAAAAAGCAGACATTTTATAATAAAATGTGCACCATTACATTCAGCTTACCCCAAACGTAAAGCGGTGACGTAGCTACTCCAAGAAGTTTCGCCCAGAAGGCTCTGTTCTTCGTCGTGAACTCTTCGAAGAGGGCTGGTATTGCGACGATGTGTCGGACGCAATCGGTCATGCTCTACCTACAGCATTGTAATTCTACGCACATTACAACACAAACCACATTTAATCTGAATGGTTGATGGTGCTACATACCAAAACTACTGGGCTTCATCATGCAAGCACTAGCAACCCTTACCTACTTGTCGTACGCAATGACAACACAAATTTCACTAATAATGAATTCCTTCTTTGTCAAAATACTAAGCGACCGCGAAACAAGCTGTGAAATACACAGCGGTAAAATAATGGACGAACTGAAAACGAAAGCGTGCTAATCCACTCCAAAGAAAAAAAGGCGCATAAAAAGCCAAAAAACTTCATAGTAGAAAACCATGAGACGTTAAGTTGCTTTTTAAGCAGAAATAAGCTGCAGCAATACCAAAAAGACACGGTTCATTATCAAAGTTATACGACCGTAAGACATCATTTTACAGCAAACGATCCTATAATTTTAAAAGAATAAGGAAAACATTAAGCCAAAGTGATTAAAAGCAAAAACCCATATTAAAATTCCAAATACACAGCGGATTTAAAAAAACTGATTTAAAAACTAAATCAAGTATTTTGAGTAATACTCAAAATAAACAAAAGAACTCATGAAGTTTACGACTAAACAAACAAATACATAGTCCACAATGTTCCAAACAAAAGTGAGTATCTTTTTTCCAGAAAAAACTGCTTCCAAAAACCAGCCAAAAGTAAAAAAATTCGACCAAAGGAGGAAGACTACTTTACTATTCTATACTTCAGACTAACAGCCATAATTGAAATAGCATCAGTTAACGAATTTGGATAGAGCGAACTATAAGGCGTTGAAAAAAGGACAAAAATAAAACATGCAAAATAGGCACATCTCTCACACAAACTAAAAAAAAACTATAAACTATGAATATCATTAAACATAAGCTAACCTTAAATGTCACCATAAATTATTCTGAGGTATGCTACCCAATTACTGTTTCATAAAACGTTTAAAAGATACTACATGCAACAAAAAAGTAGCATATTTGCCATGCAGGGAACACTGGGAGGGATCAGGCAGATGGCACATATACGGAAATAACTGATTAAAAAATGATCATATTAGGCCTTAAAGGAATAAACGTTAGGCAAAGAAGCTAAAAGAACTCAATACTATCAAAGGTACCTCTTCAAAGAATTGTTGAGTCTTTCTTAATATGTGCTTTAACTCAGTCAGCTCCAAAAAATTTTTTTTTAACATTTCTTCATTCTGATTCACTTCACGCAGCTCGTTTTCAAGTTTTTCAAAAGTTGCCTGAAATAATTCGTTGTAACTTTTGCGCCGAGAAGTAAAGATGAAGAAAAGCAGTAAAAATAAAGACTTAATAGAACTT